CTCCGCGACAAATGGTCGGAATTGAAATGTTAAGCAGACCGTTGTTGCTGATATGTACCATGTCATGCCGCTAAATTCAGAATTTAATCCAATAAAAACAAACCTTTTCAGTGCATCCCATTTGAGCATAAGGGCAGGAGACTAAAGTCAAAGGACAGTCGTTTTCAATGTGATTTGGAATCTAAAAGGAAATGATAGAATTAAATGAGTGAATAGTCTGAAATGTGATCCGTGTCTTCGCCCTGTATGAGGTTTCAGACTAATGAGTAGTAGAGAAGGGACCGGTTAGGCCGTTTCTTTGTGGATTTAATTAACTTTATGAGTGGCATAAATTAACTCCGATGAAGTCATGCATCTCATTAAGGTAGGACGATGTCATAGATTGTTTTCAGTTGGCAAGGAGCAAGTGACGTCAGAATACCCTAGGGTTGACATCATCATAAAATGTTGATATCATAATCTATAAATAGAAAAGTGATATGTGCTATTTTTCATTAGTTTTTAATTTTGCTATTTTTTAGATGGATGATGTCATGGTTTATTTCAATTATGTGTGTCATATCCTTATTTGGGTATTATTATGTTCAATTCTACAAAGGAAACAAGATACCTGCCTAGTCCCTGCCTAGCTTGCCCGGTCTCCACTAATCCTGATTGGTTGATGTTGAATCTATTACGTGTTCAAAATAAAAGCGCGCAAATATCGAACGCGATATCTTTTTTGCAGTCGCTTTGCTATGAAAATTATTTCGTCCAGTTCGGTGTACTGACTAAAAACCGGAATATAAACAAAACTCAGACAGACATAACCCAGTGCTTAGCACAACCTTTTGTATAGCATTTTTTATCATCTTAGGAGAAGATAAGGTCCGTTTTTTTTTCCAGTCACTTTAGTTGATCATAGTACCGCAAGGATGACGATAGACATTGATTTGTTCCATGCAAAGTTTAAATAAATATGGATAATATATTGTATGGGTGCACACGCAGAGAATTTTTGTTGTTGCTTAACAGGGAGTTCAATTCCAACCTTTTAAAACAAACTACTGTATATGTACTGTCCAGATACATCGTGGCTAAGGTCCTTACTTGCCACATAGCCAGATAGTATGTAGCTATAGCCTGCCGTGATACCTTACTCTGCCATCGATGACGTCACTTAAAATACAATGCAATTCAACATATTACCATTTCTCTAAGAACTGAATCCCCACAGCTGTTAGGACAAGGAAGGGGAAACTTGTTGCACGTTTCCAAGTGATCCTGCGAAACACAAATAATGAGCACTTAAGATTTGTTAGGGAAAACCATGCCGTATCAAATGGAACGTTTCAACTGGCTGATGTAATGTTTTTCTGAAAAAGGGCAATACTTACCTTCCGAGGTGTTACCCTTGTGTGGATTAGTTGTGCCCAGCTTCTTTTAGTCGGAAAAAATGAAAAATTTAACCGCATTTCTTTAATGGTACAACTATTTTTGTACTAAGAAATGAAAACAGTACCATTTGTCGGAAAATTTTCACCGAAATTTCCACACAATTAGTAAGCATTCAATTTTATCCTTCCGCAATTAGACTTTGCTACTTGCTTGTTGTCGCCAATCCAAAGCAAAGTAAAAAAAACCCATGGAAATACACAATGACATACAGCTACCACCTTCGCTAAGTACATTTGCTTGTATTCCAATTAAAATAGAATGCCAGATAAAATAAAACTGCCTGATATACTTGAAAGAACGCACGTGTAAAATTTTCAGTTCACAAAGCTAAGACAAGATCAAACGAAAAGTCAGGGTGATCCTCCGAC